ATATAATCTGTAATATATATATTCTGTATTCTATATAATATAATACATTCTGTTATATTCTGTAACCCACTTTTGCACTCTAGTGGGTTTTTTTCCCCCTATTGGTATTCTTCTTTTCAGTCAGCTTTGTTGGTGGGTCTGCTCTTATTTGTGTTCCAGCACAGTGCATCTACTCTTTTTCTGTTGTCTTGTTTGCTGTTTGGCACAAAGTAATATCTGTGAAGAAACAAGGGGAGAGGAGAAACTAAAACTTGGATTTTCTTGCTTTTAATGTTGTTAAAATTCAGGTAGGCAGGAAAGGCTTTATCTGAAACAGTTTTTGCAATCATACAGATCAGATTTTTGGGCTACACAGCCTTGAAGCACCAAATCTGTCACTCCTTTCCACCCCGGGGAAGTCAGAACAGCACAGCCATGGAACGAGGTGCTTCAGCATAGAGTGAGGTTGGAAGTAAAACATTTGCGTTCCTCGAGTGAATACTCTCGTACATGGATGCAGCCATGTATGCGATTGATGCAGGTTTTGAACCTGGAGAGGACTTGGAGTTCACTGGGAGGGTTCCCCCAGCCTTGCTGCTTTTGCCTGTAGAGAGGCGAAGATTAAACAAGCGGAAAGTTGACGCCGCGCTACCCTCAGAGGGCTGAACGCTGGCATACACAGCATATATAGGTGAAGATGCTAAAATTTGTGTGAAATGCTACTTGCTGTTTTTATAGCTCTCGGTGAAACTGCAGAGATAGAAATTTTCCATCCAGCCTCTTTATCCCAAACTTTTTTCCCATTTCTCTGCCGATAACCTCTGGACTTCCGAGCAGCAGGGAAACATGAAACATTCCTGGGTCAAATTTCTCATCTGGAGGCCTAGCTGCTTGCTGTAGTTAAGCGACTTGGCTCCAGATACTATCAAAGCAGTTGTGGTAGCAGTTCCTGTGTGCAGTTTCACTTTGCTTGAAACAGCCTCCAGTCTATATGTACCATCACTGTATATGGGTTTTTGGATATGTGCTTGAGAACCTCTTGTTTCTTAATGATGGTTAAATAGACATTTGGGTTTGCTACTTCTAGATACTCCCTTGTGCTTATTATCGAATCACCTGTGACATGAAAAGGAGTTTGTTATCCCTTTCTGCCTCTTTTATGCAGCAAATAGATAACGCAGGTTCCAGCTCATCATCTTCTGGAGCTCCTACAGCAAAGACATCTGGACAACAACACCAGATCTGTATAAGCCAGAGCCAGTCTACTTCATCAGTCGTGAATAAGACTGCTACTTCTACTGTTGTAAGTGTTGCTTCTCTGATGACTACACCAACGCCTGTGACTGGAAAAGCTGCAGTATCAGGTATTAAACTCCCTTCATGCCTTTCCTGTAGAAAGTTAGAATCCAGGTGTGCGTTCTTTGGATGACTTCACTGTAAATGGAAGAACATAGTGTTACCTGTGTTTGTGAATGTGTAAAAGTAAAGTCATGCTTTCTAAAGCATACCTTATTAGCATAACTTTTGGCTTAGCCAAAGAGATATGTAAATAATTTGGCATCCTATCATGAGTGCATTGACTGTATCTGTTACAAATAACAGTGTGTATTGCCCATTGGTGTCGGAGAGGGGTTTTAGTTTTCATGCCAGGTTCTTATTAGAAGATGCATTCTGCCTTTTGAAGAGCACTGTGTGCCACTGAATGCTGAAACTATCAAGGTATCAGCGATACTACAGACTTCATTAGTTTGTGAAAGTGAAACTCTGAAGTTGGAGAAGCTGCATGAGCAGAATTTGGCTTTGAGGCTTTGCATCTGCTCTGTTTGGCTTGGAAAGGAGAGAGATGTTGATTAGGGGGAATGGAAGGCTTTGAAGTCAAAATCCATTAAGTATAGTGAGGTAGATTGGATCTGGAATGCTTGAAGTTAATGAAGAAATAAGAAAGATGGACTGCCCTTATGTAGAGGGGAGTTTTCCTTATTTAGTTTTATTGTTCTTCGGTATCTTTTGTATCATGGAGACCAAATATAGCAGGTTTAATTTGAATATTATGGGTTAAAATTAGACATTTTCATTTTGACTCCTAATTTACCCGCTGTCATGTTCTGTTCATTTGAAGTGACTTCTTACTAAGTGGAAACAGAGTGCAAATACAGAAAAGAGAAAGTAAGTGACGCTAAGCCCATCTGACAGTGTCTTTTTAAAAGCAGGTCTTGTTTCCTACATACAGTCTTCCAAACTCCTCCTGTTTTCATCACTTTGTTTCACAGAGCTTGAAAGTAAATAACAGAGTCTGTTAAGACTGCCACAATTCTGCAATAAGCAGTTGAGTATTTTCCTCTTTGCCTACAAAGCAGCAAGGTTTATTTGGTAGGAAATACGATGTTCTAAATAATATTCAAATTAAGACTGCCATTTAGGTATGAGAATATAATCTAGATTTTAAATTATTTTTTTTTAGCCTGACGCACTGACTTCATCATGAATCCCAAAAGAAGCAGTTATTTTGATGTTTAAAAAAAAACCACCACAAAACAAACAAACCAAAGCAGTTAAAATTCTGGAGATTCATACTTTTAAAGGCAACGTCTCAAAAAGAATCTCAAAATTTCCCATTGTTTTGCAATGAACAGTGTCTCTCCGCCCATCAGGCTTAATAGGGTTAGTTTAAAATGTCCCTTTCTACTCTCCTTGTTGTTTGGGCTGTGCTCTCTTGACACATCTGTGCATCACATACTTGGGGCATTCCCCAAAGCACACTTTTAAACGATGCAGTTTCTCAAAGCATGGTAAACTGTTCTGGGAAGAGACTTGCAAAGCCGTGAGCATTTAGTTGCTTGCTGGAGACAGGCTCTATGCCAAGAGAGACCTTTGGTTCACCATTTAACATCCCCAGAAGAACTACTGGGAGGGGTCCGTGTATCAAAGGGAGCCAGCCACCACCGCGGAAGTTGGCCATCCTGGGGCTGTGTGTTTGAGAAGGCTGGAGGTGGAAGAAAAGGTTTTGCCAAGGTGTTGCACAGTCAGCTTTTTAATTCTAAAAAGATGGGCTTTTATTTAAATGAGTCTTAAACAGACTAAAATGTTTAAAAAATGAATTGGTGATACTAGGTTAGCCTTCTTGCCTGGTGGTGAAAGCCTAACTGACCAGTGCTATGCATCTTCCAAACCAAAAGATACCTTCACCAGACCTTGCATGTCTAGTACTTGGGAAGGCAGTTATGTTTTTCACACAAGAATAATAGACCAAAATGGAAACTTTATCTTGATACAAATTGTGAGTATAAAATTACTGTCGTGAAACTAAGAAATATACTGTTGGCAGTGTTCTAAAATAGAAGCCTAACAAATTTCCACAATCTGAATAAAAGCTAGCTGTAGATTGAAGACAATTATATTGGAAGTAGCCCTTTTAGCAGTAGACAGGATGGACACAGGCCCAGCTCACGGTGTTAAGAGTGCTGGCTGTGGTGGCTGGAGGTGTCATGGAGCGGTGATGAGTGCTCCTCACCCATGGCACTGTGGTGCAGCTTGTTTCCACCCAAGTCACTGGGTGCTGCCACTGATAATGCTATTAATACCTGAGTGTCCTGCTTGTTCTCTTAGCCTTGACTAAAATCAGTGATTTCACTCAATCCCCACTTTAATATGCTTCATAGCTTGATTAGCCATCCTTGTGGCTATATCCAGTGCATATTACAGAAAGACACAGGACACTCAGTTCAGGTATGTCCTTCACCAGACTTGCTGCGCGGCCTTGGGCTTGTCAGGTAGTTAAAACGTGGTTGATTGTGCTCTGCTGACTGCAGTGGATGCTGCTAAGCTGAATTGCAGAGGTGTGTGCGGCACTTGGGTGCCTCAGTGAGAGTGGCTGTGTAAGTACAACAGAGCTGTTGGTCGCTGGCTTACCAGACCCTTGAGCACAAGGTCTTGTTCTGACCAGAGCGTTTTACTCTGTGCTGAGCCTGCTTCAGCTGAAAGGTTTGTGTTAGATCAACTTTTACTTAAGGTTACTTACGTAATTAGGAAACCTGCCTCGCAAATATCAGAGTGCTGCGCAGCACGTGATACTGCACACACTGTGGTGCAGCACCCCAATATTTTAGCAATCGTTTGTGTCAGTAAAAACATCTCTGATGGTTCACTGAACTGTGGCATGTTAAGAGGGCGGCAGTGCTAGCTTACATGCCATCCTGGTTCAGGCAGAAAGGGAGAGAAATAGCTGGAGATAAACAAAATGGTGTGTTTTATTTAACGTTTTGTCTTCCGTTCTTCTTGCAGGGTTGCTAAAAATCCACTCAAATCAGTCTAGTCCACAGCAGGCTGTTCTGACAGTTCCCAGCCAGCTTAAACAGCTCGGTGTAAACACAGCTTCTGGAGGTGTTCAGACAATACTCATGCCTATGAACAAAGGTAAAGGGCAGAGGAGGATGACAGATGGTGTTTGAAATCCCCTTTGACACAGGGTCAAAGCTCTTGGTTGGCATACATGGTCCAAAGTTAGAGATAGAAGAAAATGTAGCGAGGAAATTCATCCCTAAACTTTGTGCTGCAAACACTGTGTTGCTTCTGAACATGGTTATTTTTCAAAGTGTATGAAGTTTGATTATTTTTTCTTTTTCTTTTCTTTGTTGTTTTTTTTGTTTTGTTTTGTTTTGTTTTTTGCTCTTCCTCTCCAGTGATACAGTCACTTTCTACCAGCAAAGTTTCAGCTGTTACAGCTGTCACAGCAGCAAGTACAGTTGTCCCTAGTCCCTCTACAGTATCCATCACTAAAGGTAAGAAGGAATTTCTCAGTAAGATTATTAGTAGAAATAAGCTGGTGCTGCTTTGTGCAAGTGGCCGGACTATGACAGTAGACCCTGTGACTATGGGTTCCTTTATTTCCATTGCTAGTAGGGTTTAAATCAAGTAAAAATGGCATCTGGGGACTAGGAAGTTAACAGTGACTTCCCGGTCAACAAATCCCAAAGCATAGGCAAGTACAGAGAGAAATGAGGATGTTCTAGAAAGCTACCCATGAGTACTCTAAATGTTTATTCTTTCAATCCATCATTGCAGAAATGCATAGAGCAGCATGCATTTAATCACGGTAACTGCTGTACTCAGAAGAGTGACTATGGTGAAATGTACTGGAGAATGCTTTCCAGCAGCACTCAATGTAGACAGCACGTGTGTGTGTGTGTGTACACACACAGAGGGGAAAGATGTACGTACGGTACTTCCCAGAAGAATGCACGGGCCGGAGCTGAGATACTCAAGTCCAGCTCTTGCAGAACCGTCATACATCTCTCCCATCCCAGACGAATGACCAGACTGCCTGGCTGTTCTGGGTTGGGAATGTCTCTCTCTCCCTGCTCCTGTCTCACCAGAGTTCTGACCTAGATGTGAGAAAGTTCACTGATGTCAAAATCAGTGTTGTCTTCAAAAAAAAATTCTTACTTTGACATGTCACTTCTTGCTAAAACTGTTAGTAGTTTTCTCTTTGTTTACAGAAAGGCCATTGTACATGTGCAGGCAGGTCAATTTAGATCAGGCAGTAATATGCGAAACATCAGCAATTGATTATGCAAATGCAAATTTTCTAAAAAGGATGAGATGTGAGCATGTTGAGATTGAGGGACGGGGTGACATGTTCTGGTGGCTTGCTTTCAGCAGAATGGAAGGCCAGATTTGTTCATACTTAACAATCGGAATGCAGACAATAAATGCAGTGGCATTATGTAAGACCCTTAGTCTTACTGGAGTCTCGCAAGACATTCTTTATCAAGCTGACTGGTATTTTTTGTCTCTTAAAATGTGTTCTGTTTCTTTGAAGTTAAGATGGAGCCTGATTCAACAGGACAAAACTGCAGTTCTGTGGGTACCCAAGAAGGCCAAGCAGCAGTAAAAACAGAAGAGAGCTCTGAACTTGGAAATTACGTTATCAAGTAATTGTTCATTTCTCTATAAGGATTTCTGATCTTTGGAGTACCAGGGGAAAGGAGTTGATTCTAGGGATGTGTGCAATAGTGTTAAGTGTGACCTAGAAATACATTATACAATCTTCTGTCCCATACGCTGCTGTATCAGTAGTAATCCTGTTGGCTGGCATTTGTTTCAGGCAGTGTTGCAATATTTTCTTTGTAAATGGATTTGTATGCAGGACTTATGAAAGGGGACAAAATTATTTGAAGATTTGCAGTTGTTTTGGGGTTTGCTAAAATCTCAAGCTGTTAAAACCTCCTTACCATCCACTGCTTGTATAATTCCCATTGCCATTGTCTGTCCTTACTAAGGTCAGACTGCCCAGTGAAATGCAGGTCAAAAAAGGGGCACCTGAAGTAGGTAGAACTGTCTGTCGTCTTGCCTCTAGTCTTGTAAGGCTCATCTATTTCTGTTATTACTTAGTATGAGGGCTGTGTTGGTTCAGAATTGGAATTAAATAATAAAGATTCCCGGACTATTTTTTCACTGGATGCTGTGAAACCCAATGCCTTGTTTGCGATGCTCTTGCAAGTACTTGTTAGTGTTTTTTTTTCACCAGAACTCACTTTGCAGAATTTTCTCTGCATATTTCTTGTAATGTGTGGGATGTTTCTTCTGCTCTTGATTTCTCCAGTGGCTGACTTCCCTGTCTCCGTGTTTTGAAAAGTTTTGTTATTCCGACATACTGCTGCAGACATTACCCTGATAGAGAGTATGTGTAGGAGACAGGAATAAATCTTAAGTCACTACACACTGGAAATTATCTTAGTTATAAAACAACTAATGGAAAATACAGTTTTTGCCAGTTAAATACAGTATGGCTGGTTAAGTAAAATTTACCTGAAGTCCTGTAAGTACAAATCTTCCCATGCAGTATCTCGTGTTCCTACTGGGACAGCCTGCACTAGTGGGTGCGTCTTATCCCTCAAAGTAGGGTTGCAGATTGTGAGGTGATGCAGAGATTTCTTCCAAGCCCGCCCAGAAAAGCCTGTCTTTGGTTTCTTCATCATGACAAATGCAGCTTCAGATGTGGATGCTTTGGCAAGTGGAAGGGCTGTTTGAAATACCTTCTCCAGATTGTGGTATAAGAGATTATCCTCATACCAGTATTGCTATAATGCCTTGGGGCTAGGGACTTTAAACCATGCAGGGATTTTAAAATCTTTTACATCTGATTCATTGCTGCCAACAATATTCTTCATTGTGATTCTTTTTATCCCTTGCAGCATAGAATATTTGGAGAACATCCAGCAGCTTTTAACAGCAATAGTGAAGAAGGTTCCATTAATTGCTGAAAAAAGTAAGCAGTAAATGAAAAGGCTTTGCTTTCTATTTTCAGTGTATCAACAGAATGCCTTGCATACTCTGTACCCACAAAAATTATTAAAAGACAGAATGAAATGAAGCCATTCTCCTAGAGAGCTTACGCCAGGGGTTATTCTAAAGATGCTTAGAATCAGGTTCTTCCAACAAAGCCAAGTATGTTGTCAGCAGTTACTAACTTTCACTTGGTTTTTTGGTTAGAAATAGATTGTATTTCCTCACATAATAGCTGCAAGTAGGTCTTCTTTTCCCTGGTTTGTCCTTCATAGGTGTGCTTTTTTGTTGGGTTTGTTGGGGTTTTTAATTTAATTCCAGGGTTTCAGAAGTGCTTGCAAATGTGCTAACATAGCTCAGCATGGGAATGTGTGTGTTGTTGGGGTTTTTGCATTTTTATTTAAACAAAAGGTGTTGGATTGCAGAGAAACGTTTTAATCTTTTATGGTACTTTATAATTGCATACTTCTTTCTTACGTACATAGCTGAAAATTTATCAGCTTTGTCTGGTAACTAATGCACTTTGAACAAGTGGTCCTGGAGACTGGGTAGGGCAGACCCTCTCAAGATAAGCACAGTGAGCAAAGTAGGAGTGGGTGGCACGGCACAGTAAAGCTTTCATTACGTACAGCTCTCTGGCCTACGGTAGCATTCATGAATCCGTTGCTTAGGATTCATATCCCCTCCTCATGTTTTTGCCAGGAAACCTTTACACTGCTTCATTTTTATATTGCAGTTTGTTGGCAAAAAAAAAAAAGTCTTCCAAAGGAAGAGACTTTGACCAGTAAGACAGACTTACGGGTCTACATCATTACAATTTTGGGGGGAAGCAGAGGTTTAAAACAGCCCCTAGCCACAGATGTCTGTATGTCCTGCCCAAGGGGGATGCTGATTTTGTGTTCAAAAACCAAAGTGTCTGCTGCACGTATCTGTACTGTGCTCTGAGAGCACAGCATTTGTAAGAGTTACGGTCCTTGATCCTGTGACCATGAAACACATTTCCCTCCTCTTCTCCACTAAATAATATCAAAACCAGAATTTATCTTGCTTCACTTATTAAAATTTAATACTGGCTTTGGCTTTGTGTTTTCTAGGTGAAGATGCAAGCCCGTTTTGTGCCAGTTCAGTGGAACAGTATTACAGCTGGAATATTGGGAAGAGGAGGGCAGCCGAGGTAATCCTCTCCTGTGTTTCGTAAGCAGTCATTAGGGACACAAGAAGGATTTCTGAATTATGGAACTTTCCTTGTTGTGGAGTGATTTGTTTTCTGAAGCAGTCTGTCGCATTTTTAAATGGAAGCATTCCTTACTGCAAGACGCACCGATTTGTGTCCAAGCAGTGATCCAGTTTATTGTTCAGAGACTTTCTCAAGCAGAAGGGACCCTGACAGTCATTTTTCAGTTGCTTCAAAGAAAGATGTTTTTGAAGCATTTTCAAAATCAGAATTTTTGCAAACTGTCCTGTTAGCACTTTATCCTCATCACTCCTCTGTGGCATACTGTGGTCATGGGAATTTTACCCAACATACTTTGTCCATTTTTTCATGGGATTGTGTCTGCTTTCTGTAGGATGAGAATTGAGGGCTCTGACACAAGCAATGCTAGTGCTGAAATAGATTGTCAGTTCACTAAAGATAAATATTCCAGTTAATCTGGGCCTTTTTGTATTGTGCTTGTTATGTTTCCCCCTATTTCTTTATAGTTCTGTCATCTTGCTATGGAGTTTTACCAATTAGACCCTCTGCAGTTGCCAAATTAAATGATTAAAGAGTTTAAGCAAAATTTTGAGCAGCATATTTTGCTCAGTGGATTTCTTGTGTTATGCCATCTTAGGTGTTACTCGGGAGATGAGACAGTTCAAGTCAAGGCAAATGTGTCTGGGCCCCTGCAAGTGTGTGTCCCTTTTTCTTGAGCTTTTGTCTGGATGAGAAAGCAGAGTTTAAATGACCTGTTTACAGCTGCCTGATACCAATATTATGACCATCTTCCACATTTGTTTTTCCTTGTCATTCTGACTTCTGAGAAAATTGTGTTCCTTTTTGTTTTCCTTGCAACCTGGATTACTGTCCTGGGCCATAGTCTAGCCTTAAGCGTTTTAGTCAGTGTGATGAGGTGTCCCTTTGGTTTGTGACAGTGGCAACGAGCAATGACAGTGAGAAAGATCCTACAAGAAATCATAGAGAAGCACCCCAGGTTTCACAACATTACACCCCTGAAAACAAAGCACGTGGTGCACTGGTGTCGATGCCATGGCTACACTCCACCTGACCCGGAGACCTTGCGGAACGATGAGGACTCGATTGAAGACGTGCTGACACAGATAGACAGTGAGCCAGGTGAGTATGGAGGGACAGAAAGCTCCTTCTCACCAAAGACACTGTTTGTTAAATGGCTTGAGGCTCTGTGTGTGCACACACGTGTGCTGCTTCTTCAGGAGAAGGGAATTCTTATGTTCTTTTGGTTTTTAACTTGATTCACTCTGGAATAACAGAAGTTGGAGATCTTAAGGGCAAGCCTACAAGTGAGGCTGCCCCTTGTCCGTACCAATCCTGATGTTCTCTGGGACTTCTTTTCGGTTTTATTGTGCTCTGGGGCCATTGGAGACCCAGTGTAGATAAATCTTATGAGAGATGATTCTTGCCCCACAGTCTAATGATTTATAAATGGGCACACAACCAAAGCATAGGGAGTAATGACAGTTCTGCCCTTGGGTAAGCTTAGCCTCTGCTAAAAGACTTACTGTGCAAACAGCGTGAATGAATTCAGGTACAAAAAAAAACCTCCCAAAACTGGCAGCGGCAGCATGGAGCTCAGTGGTGGTTAATTTACCTCCAAAAGTGAAGTCAATTGGCCTGTGTGAAGCTTCACATTTTGTTATTACAGCTGCTACATTATTGTACTAGGCATAGCTCTGGGATCTCCACAGTCCGGTGTAGTATGTATTAAACATACATCTTTCATTTCATCTGTTCTTCACAGTTAAGCTCCCATGTTTCACCTTCAGATAATCCCTTTCCCAAAGCTGAATGTGTTTCTGTTCGGATCATACAGGGATTTAAGGTATTTCACGGAAGTGTATGGATTTGATTATTCTTTGCTAAGTCTGGCCATGCATTGCAGTTGTTGAAGGTGGAAAGGAAGCCTCCATCCACCTTTTCATATTTGTATCTAAATAACTAGATTTGTGTTTGTCTTTGAAGAAAAGAATCTGTTTATTGCGTAGCTTTCCACTGCAGGTTTTACTGGCTCTGGTTGAGCATGCGGAGAAGAGGTTACTCTTTCATAATTCCACTGTGAATCTGTCTTCTGATTTTTCTTAAAAAGCTTGATAATACTTGTCACAGTGTAAAAGATGATTTAGTGCTACGTGGTGCCTACATAGTAAAAACTCCCATTTCTCCAAGCAAGTTGAAGAGCATCAGGCTGCTTTGCCCGTTGTCAAAAAGAATGTTTAGGAGACTCACATTAGCCTGGTTTTGTTTGAAATGCAGCTTTCTTGATTGGTTTAGGGGCAGATGAGGCAGTGGACCGTGAGTGTCTTGAAGATTTAATTAGAAGACTCTCAATGACTGTTTGTGTTTCTGTTCATCCTTATGTTTGGTAGGAACTACAAAAATAACTTGCAATTACCTTAATTTCTTACCATATTTTGAGTGTGCGTCGGTTTATAAACAGCTTTCCATAATCTATCATGTGTTTAATTGCTTCTTTTTCAGAATGCCCTTCATCTTACAGCAGCGGTGAGGAGCTGTGCCGAAAACTAGAGGAACTACAGCAATTTCTGAAACGAGAACCAGAACACGAAGAGGAAGTAGATATTCTCAACTTTAGCGAGCCATTAAAAATAAACATTAAGAAAGAACAGGAGGAGAAACAAGAGGAGATGAAGTTCTACTTGGCTTCCTTACCTGCATCAGAGTTTGTGAGGGACACTGCAGAGAAGGTAATAAGTGAATCATAAAGCTATTAAGAACTGTTGTTAAGCTAGTTGTGGTCTTACATTTATTTAGTTGCCTTTCAAAAGCATCCAGAGGTCCATATAGATGAAAGAAATTTTTTATAAATGCCCTGGAAAAATTGAACCTTCTGAGTCCTGACACTCGGCTGGCCATGCTGGCAGGACTAAGTGAAGCATGCCAGGTGGGAGGTTGTTTCAGAGTGGTTGTGTTGCAGGGCTTAGCACCTGAAAAATTATCCTGGAAGGCTAGAAGCAAGGGGAAATGAGGGAAGAGGAGCACTAGCATTGAATTCTTCCTGTCCCATCACGTGAAAGATTTGGGCTCATTGCTTAGAGCAGTGCTGTTTAATAGCAGCTCCTGAAAAGGAGTTGTGGTAAAGCTAAGACCACAGCAAACTTCCCCCCCCGCTATTCAAATTAGGGTAAAAGAAAGGGAGAGGGGGATCTTCTCTCACAGTGGCAGGAAGGAAAGAGAGGACACTGACTCAGCTTGTAGGAAAGAGTAGTCCCAGCCGAGACAGGAGCAGCGGAAGGGGTTTGCATGCAGCAGTTGTGGGAGAAGGAAATTATCTCTGTCTCCACCTCAAATGCTGCCATCAAGGGACAAAACTTTGGTTCTGCAGCACGTCTAGGCTCTTGCTACGTAGGTGGCAAGGGCACAGGCATGACGAGAGTGTGACTGGGGGATGAAACACTCTTTTGATGCAGAACCCTTGTGCCAGGAGTACTGTTTAAAGTGGTTTCAGTTGTCATAGTTAGGTGCAGGGAAGATTAAAACTGTACATATATTCAATCCATCTATTTATAAAGTGGAGCTTCCGTCCTCAATCCAAAGATATCCAATGTAGCCTGGGTTTTGTGTGGACTTTTTTGCGGCTTACCAGTACCTGAAGGGGGCCTACAGGAAAGCTGGTGAGGGACTGTTTATCAGGGAGTGTAGTGACAGGACAAGGGGTAATGGGTTCAAGCTGAAGGAGGGTTGATTTAGATTAGATGTTAGAAAGAAATTCTTTACTGTGAGGGTGGTGAGGCACTGGAACAGGCTGCCCAGAGAAGCTGTGGATGCCCCCTCCCTGGAAGTGTTCAAGGCCAGGTTGGATGGGGCTTTGGGCAACCTGGTCTAGTGGAGGGTGTCCCTGCCCATGGCAGGGGGGTTGGAACTAGATGATCTTTAAGGTCCCTTCCAACCCAAACCGTTCTATGATTCTATGACTTTCTGAAACAAAAATTAAAACCTGTTTTTGTTTCTTCTGTGTTTTAGAGGCATTTCTGCAGGCTGTTCTAGTGGTCAAGCTTCATTTGCTCCAGATTTTTTTTTTTTTAAATGAAGCCTGAGATTACACTGCCTGAAAGTTCTGCTGTGTCTGCTTGCTTGTTTTTTGTTTTTTAACTACCCTTTGTAATAGCTTGTTTCTGTTATCTCATTCTCATATCACCTGTAGGAAAACCTGCATGGTGTTATTTGATGTATTAATCTTTTTTTTCTCTTTCTTGTATTTTATAGATAGGAATTTCTTTTCAGCCTGCTGAGGTACAAAAGAATGTTTATGCATCAGTAATAGAAGATATGATTTTAAAGGTAAGAAATTACTTCACATTAAGAACTGTTCTGTAACTGTATTAGGCCAGTAATGTAGGAAAAAGATTGAATATCCTTACTAATATGCATTTATCAAATCAGGAGGTGCAGAGTCTGATATCTATCTTTGTGCATGTAAAGAAAGATTGATAGCTGACCAAAGAGTGTCATATGCTTCTGTGTGTGTTTCCAGCTTTCTAACTGATTTGTTGGCTTGGACACAGAGCAGTGATTTGCAGATTCTCACCTCCAGCAAGATACTGACTCATTGTGTAACTTTGAAAGTACCCCTTACTTTGTTCTGCCCTTCCGAACTGGAGGGGGAAATCTGCCAGAGTTCTCTAAGGTGTGATTATTTTATGAGAGGTTAACTATTTTTTCGTAAAGACTGTTCAGTTCCTTTTTGTCTGGGTTGTCTCTACTGGGAGACTGCTGAATTCCTGCAGACAGCAGCAATTCTGCCTTGTACAAGAAACCATTTATCTATCATACTCAATTTTGGAAAAACAGAGACTGTTTCTTACCAAAGCTTTGAACAGCATGGAATGGAAGTTCTTGGGTTTGGACTGAAGGCTAACACAGATTATTTTTAGCAGTGCTGTGCTGTGTTTCAAGCCAAAGACAATTTTTGGGGTTGTTTATCCAGACTGCTACTTATCAGAAGATCAGTTTTACAAAAGCTAATTCCATATGCACACGCATGCAGGCTTCTGCTGTGCTCTCCGTTACTTATCATAGCTAAACTCAGATACAGATACAGCCATTTGTAGACACAGATTGTAGCTATCAGATTGCTCGTTATAATTGTAGACTTATGCCAGCTTTCCTGACTGAACATCCCAGAAACCTCTGCTCCAGTCTTGAGACAGGCACAGGAAGCCAAGAGCCTTAATTAGCTTTTAATTGAACCTTGATTCAGCCAAGCGTGTAGGGCATACTCCTGCCCTCTGCTTGCTGTCCAGGCTGGGAGGTTTTTGTGAAAGTGTCCTGACATAAGCCTGGTGGCCGCAGGGAGCGGATAACAAGCATATACCAGCTCCCAGGAGAGTATCTGGAATCTGCCACGTGCAAAACAAGCTCTGGGGTGTGAGGCAGGACCCTAAAATGCTCTTTGAAGCACAGGCTCTGGAACATTGGATCCACCCTGCTGTGCACATACAGCTCTGCAGGTCCAGAGGGAAACCAGACTGGGCAGTTGCAGTGTGAGCTCTGTGCATCTGTAGGTCTCTTTCTTTCTGTTAAATATACTCGGTTCTTATTCCTGTGCCAGTAAAACTCACTTGGGCATCTTGAACTGTCCCCTGCTGATCAAACACAGGGTTGAACTGAGCCAGACTTTCAGCTGCTCTTACACCCATACTCGAGCAAATAGCACATTCCTCTCCTCTTTTCATAATGCCGTCTCCTAATGTTGTCTTTTGTCACAGGCCACTGAGCAGCTTATGAGTGATATCCTGCGGCAAGCACTGGCTGTGGCATACCAGACAGCTCCTCACAACAGGTACAGCAGCTTGTTTCCTCTTAAACCACGTATGCCAGCACTAAGGGCTGAACCGCTTGAGGAATTTAGTCACGTTATCTCAGACCATGCGGGTGAGGGAATTTCTGAACTATATTCTGGGGAGATCCTAGCCTTAGGAGGGGGTTTGTCATCTCTTAGCTCCATCGTGGCAAAGGAGTGGTAACATAGACAACACTAAACACTGAGGGGGGGTTCTCTGGTGTTGCCACCCTCAAAGGCAGATGACCTGTTTCTACAGAGCCATGTTGGAAGAACCTTCTCACTCTTGTCCATCTCAGGTTACCGTGTAGACAACTTAACTTACCCATGGCCAGACAGAACTTAAACAACCTAAATAATCTCTTCTTTATTTTCCTGATACACTCTCTTTTCTGGCTCAGACACGGAGTGATTTTTATGGTAATGATTAGGCCACATCTTGATTTCTGTTCAGCACCTCGATTTGGGATAGCTTGAAATCGGGAGGGGGGACCCACTACAAGAAAATGCTTAGTTTAAATATTTACTTTTATGCAATATATAAATATTTATATATTAAACATATTTATATATGTTCTATATATAAGTATATGCACATAGTCTGTGCTACAGAAATTCAAGAATTAATACTTCAGCACTTGAAAGCCATTTGAAAGTGGCTTTTTTATGCTGTGACATTTTAATGCTTTCCCTGTGTTGCTCTAACACTGCTCTTTTACCCTTTTTTTTTTTTATGGATTTTTTTCTTTTCTTTTTTCTTTTCCCTGTTAGTACTTGCTGCTTTATGGACATGTGTCTTTTTATGTATTATAATAGCAACTCTGATGCATTCCCTGCAGGACTCCAAGAGAGATCACAGTGATGAATATTCACAAAGCCATCTGTAATATTCCCTTTCTTGACTTCCTCACAAACAAACATATGAAGATACTAAACGAGGAACAATGAAATAGAGCAGAGAAGATGCTACAGGAAAGGTGGATTTATGACTGACGTTGGGTTGACAAATCCAGTATTTCTGTAGGACACTATTATATACATTTATAACATTGGGCTACTAGATTGTTACCTCCAATTAAAGATGCACCTTAATGCAACAAAACGATGCTCTGTTCCAAATCAAGTTGTTAAATGTCAGTGTTTACTTGGTAAGTGTATGTTCAGTGGCTGAACAAACATTGTCAGTTTGCATCGAGTTGCTAGCTGTGAGAGACCCCACAGGCCTGGTCCCTCTGAGACAGCTGTATTGATGAGATCAAACATTTTTTTAGGAAAAGAAATTATGCTTTTTGATGCAGTCTACATACAAGTTGATTTCCCCATGCAGTGGGCAGAACAGTTGCTTTGGCACTCTGAATATGAGAAAAGTCAAAGGCAGCTTTTAAAGGTGGGTCGTTTGAGTAGATGGGTGGGTTGGTTGCTTAGCTTTGGGTGTGGGGGAGCAGAAGGCTGATGGCTGCAACAAATTCTGCCAGTCCTGATTGAGTACATGTGACTGAGAACACAGCTGGGGAGGCTTATCGTTAGCTTATTCAGCTGAGTGTCACCTAACCACATTCCTTGCCTCTCTAGGGGAGGTGTCCGATGTCACCTTTCTTAGTCACCTCAAAGGGTAGACTGGCACATGGTCAATCAAGATGAACAAACCATGGTCAGGCTTGGTGAGATTTGACTGACCACTTGTCCTGCATGGGAAAGGAGAGGAGCAAGGACAGTATTCAGTGTGCGTGGGCTTGGACTGGCTGAAACCCTTTGCTTGCCCAGCGAGTGCCTCCCCAGGCTGCCAGAAGGTCTGGAGTGTGCTGGAGGGCAGGTGACTGGCTGTCTGGTACAAATCTTAATGTTTTGACAGCGTTCACTAATGATCATCAGCTTAGATTGTGAAGTGCTGTGGGAGCAGCACCACTGTGGCTTAAGTTCTGCTCAACACAGAGATCATAGGATCAAAAAATGAGAGATTTGCTGCTTTTGGGGAGCTCCTCTGATGTCTTGACTGCAGGAAGAAGTTCTGCTACTAACCCCAGCATTTACCTGTCTCAGGAACATCACTGGTGTAGGAGACAGGTCTGCAGCCTGGCTGTCAACACCTCGCTGAAGAAGGCTTCGCTGACAACTTCTACCACCCCTTTGTCCTGCCCCATGGGTGCTTGCTAGTAGTGTGAATAAGCCATTGTAAAGTTGGTGGGACTCTTGTTGGACTGTCGCGCTTTCAGGGTGTTTGTTTTGTGAGGCAGTGCTGTCGTGGGTGGTGCATGAGTCAAACAGCCAGAACCTCCAAATGCGCTGATCTCTGCTGGGTCTCTGATCTGCTGCATGGCCTTTGATTTAATCACTCTGTGCCTCAGTTTCCCCATCTCTGAGCATGGGGAGCAGGATACCTACCTCACAGGGGTGTACTGAGGCCTTGCTCTTGTTGGTGCCGTGCTTTGACAATACAAAGCCTTTTATAAACATTACAACTACAGTTATCATTCCTGGCCTGGGGTAAGAACAGAAATCTTCAAAATGTTACCTTTTGGTGCTTTTTTTGGGCCAGAAGACAGGTGATGGTAACTCCAGTAGTGTGCAGGAACTGTGGAAGATGGTTCAGTTAGAGGGTGGTTTCAGGCTTCCGAGGAGGGTAGCCTGGGTTTGGTGCAGTTCTTAAACTGAAGAAGGTACTGTGTACCTCAGATGGGATGCTGCCTGTCTTCTCCACCTGAAATAAAACTAGGCTCTGCAGATAAGCCCCCCCCCTCAGTTCATCAGAGCTAACAGGGAGTTACAGCTCGCTTGAATAGGAGTGGCAGAACCTGGCCCTTGAATCTAGGAAATGGGACCAATGGATGAAATCCAAACAGCGTTCAGAGAAGGACTTAAATGCCCCCGAGAAAGGGCGTTTCAGATGCTCTGGATTCGGAAGATAATCCTGGCTTGTTCGGGTGAGCTGAGCGCAGGATTGCCTGCACAAGTAAAGTGCGCGGCTTAGCTCCGACACTGGTGTTTCAGCCGAGGTCAGTGGCGATGATGCGTGAGCTCAGCGCTGAGAGTCCGGAGGAGCCCAGGTCGCGGGGGAACAGCAGGCCCCACGCTTTGTTTGTAGGCTGTGGTGAGCTCAGAGTCCATCCTGCTTTCAGGCATGCCTGTACGCAGCTTTTACGAAAAAGAAGGGCATTTTCAAGGTACCTGTCGCTATCGCTGTGACAGCCTGCAGGTTGTGTGGGAACAGCCCTCTGGGCAAACTCATGCCGTGATCTTCTGCAATGACATGTGTGTTTCCAGCCCCCATCTCTTGTGGGCTTAGTTCCTGGGATTTTCAGATGCCCAGAGCAGCTCTTGAGGATGCAGGAGCTCGTCTTTTGGCATCTGTTTGCAAATTGTGGCTTCCTTGCCTGTGTCCTGCTTCTCTGTGAGGAATGGAGTTTCGGAACAAGTCCTGAACCTGGCCCTGAAGCAGGCAGGTAAACGCCCCTTCTTCGAAGTGGGGTTCTTGCAGCAGAGATCTATTGCTACATTTCTGAGCAACCACAGGTTATTCTCGTAGGAGAGGCTATATTAATAATATGTAAAGTTTGCTGAAGAAAAATAAAATCTGTTAAAAGCAGATAGAAAGTAACACATTTGTTTAGCCCTTCAGATATAGGAAACGTTCGCAACGAGTTCTTTGAATTTTGAGAAGTGGTGGGAGAAAAATTTGTTGGTGAGAAATTCCTGTGGGAATTGCTTGGAGATGAGGGTAGAGGTTGTGGAATTTCACGCACCCGGTCAGGTGTGTGTGGAACGTACAGATGATACGGTGCATTGAAATGTTACGGTATATTTCTCTGGCTTTCTAAAGAGTCTTGATACAAGTTAAAGATCTCTTTACAAACATTGCCCCTCTTTGTAATGCTGAGTGTTTAAATCCTTCATGTTATCTGTATTATACTGTATAATTGTGTAAGATACGTATGTTTACAATAAATTCTTAGTTGTGATAGGATTGTCTTGACTGTCACCTGTCACTCAGAGTTTCTCCAAATCCACAGATTTTTGTGTGCTCTGTGTACGCAGAACATTTTAGTTCTGGATAAAAAACGGTTGTTCTTGAATTGATCTGAAGGAAAAGGGTTGGTGGGGTTTTTTTCCCCTTTTCTAGTTATTTAAAAAAAAACCTCTTGGTTTTGGAGGTTGGGGAAAGGGAAGCCAGGAGCTCAGCACGCTTAGCTCCTCCAGCTTTTCATCCTGCAGGGCAGCCTGTTTAAACAGCAAGCAGTCGGTTTGTGAGGAGGATTGACAACCATGGTGGGTTGACATTGGCCGGCTGTCAGGCGCCCACCCAGCTGCTCTCTCACTCCCCTTGAATGGCGCAGAGGGAGAAAATAAGATGAAAAAGCTTGTGGTCAAGATAAAAACAGGGACGTCACATACCAATTGCCGTCATAGGCAAAACAGACTCAACTTGGGGAAAATTAGTTGAACTTATTGCCAACTAGAGTAGAGTTGGATAGTGAGAAACAAATCATAGAACCACAGAACAGTTTGGATTGGAAGGGACCTTAAAGCCCATCCAGTTCCAACCCCCTGCCATGGGCAGGGACACCCTCCACTAGCCCAGGTTGCCCAAAGCCCCATCCAACCTGGCCTTGAACACTTCCAGGGACAAGACAAAAAAAATAAAGCACTTTCCCCCACCACCACCCCTTTTTTACTAAGACTCTACTTCAGTCCTTCATTCCTGACCCCCACTGCCTCAGAGACCCCACGTTCCCACTTGCCACCCCCTGGGCACGGGCACCTGATACAAAAAGTAACGGAAAAAAGGAGGAGAAGCAACTTCTCTGTTTTCCCCAGGCTGTGGGGAGGAACCGTAGGTACCTGTGAGCAGACTTCACGCTCCATTGTTTTTTCAAAATACTGCAAAACTCGTTCCTGTTTGTACTAAATCCCGTAACAGTGCCTCCTAAATCAGCGCACACCGTAATGGCTTTAGGCTGCCAGAGCCAAGCGACGAGGACGCAGCCAAGGAAGGCTGGCCGGGCCCACGACGCTAACCACGATGCCTCCCCTCCTGGCTGCCGCAGCCCTGCCCTCGTGTTCACCAGCACATCTCCAGGACGTGGAGGTCAGGCGCAGCGTGCCCAGAAGGCGCTGGTCCATCTGCTTTAGAAATGAGGCTGTTTGCACCCAGAGCTGGTGCCAGGAGCAAGCGGTGTGGCTGGGTCCCAGGGCGCAGTCTTGGTGACACCAAAGCCTGTGCCACCAGGACCAAGGGATTGTCCATCCCTTCTGTGCCGTCTCTGCCCTGAAGGCAGACACAGCCTCTCTGGGCTACGTGGCACCAACACCCACGTGTGGTAAAACAGGTTGGTCCTCAGGATTGTATGTTACTGCAGTGGCCAAGATAGAGAAACCTGGTATGGATAAGGCAGAGGTGACAGGTTTGCGTCTGATTGTTCACCCTTCAAGAAATGAGTGCAATGCAAAGAGAAATATGCAGGTTTTGAAAGCAGGCAAATCATTAATGTGCTGCTTGTGAAATTTTCGAGTTCAGGTAATGGGAACTGCTCCGAGTAATGGAGCGTTTCCCACACCAGAGCTTCACCTGAGCACATGGAAGTGCAGGTGTTCACAGCTTCCCGGTGTAGTGGATGCAGCTGGCACAAAACACTGTCAGCATCCCAACAGGCCAGGTGTCAGCAAGATGGAATGAAACAAGCGTTCAGTGTCACCCTATGGGTAGTAAATTATAAAGCTTCAGGCATAAAACCTTCCTTTTAAAGTTTAAAGGACCTCTCTACGTGTCAAGTAACCCTTGTTTGCAGTGTGATTCACACTTGGAAAGCCTTCGTGGACTTGGACGTGAACCCAGAGCAAACGGGAAGACAAATACTAGTGTGAGAGCAGCGTTGGAAGCTGTCCTGGCATCGTGACTCCATGGAGCCTGCCAAACCGGTGTAGATTTGCCCTCCTCAGAGGAACTTGGTGCGATGCCTTTCAATTTGGCTGAGGCAGGCACTTCCCATACAAAACCAGGTATGTTGCCGACAGCAGCAGCCAGTCACATCGCCCTTGCAGCGGTAAGTACCTGCTTGGTTTTCCTTCCAGTCATCCTCCCTGTAGTAGGAGCCAGGCAACAGCTCATGAGCCTTTGGCTTTCTCCTGGAAGTCTTCTGAGGCATAGGTAGAAGAGCTGGCGTTGCGCTGTCTGGGGAAGCTGGTTGCACCTCCGGCAACTTTACTCGTTCTTGGGAGCAACCGTAAAGCGATGGTCTCTCTTAAAATTCAAAGCTAGCGCCGT